TGATTTTTTTGGGGGGATAGAACCCAGGGTATCACAGGCGCAGAATGACTCACTATTACGGCCATTTAATCTGGAGGAAGTAAAGGATGCATTGTTTGCAATGTATCCGGATAAAGCACCGGGACCGGATGGAATGAATCCGGGTTTTTATCAGCATTTTTGGGATGTGGTAGGAGGGGATGTTGCGAGTTTTGTGCTAAACTGTCTTGAATCAGGTGACCTCCCGTCTGGCTTGAATGAGACAGATATTGTGTTGATCCCTAAAAAGAGTAATCCAGAGTTAGTAACTGATTTGCGCTCTATAGCACTTAGCAATGTCATTTACAGAATAATAGCTAAAATGATGGCTAATAGAATGAAGCCTTTGATGGAAGGAATAATATCTGAGACACAGAGTGCTTTTATCCCAGATAGATTGATAACAGATAATATTCTATTAGCTGCAGAAGTGGGGCACTTTCTGAATCGAAAACAGTGTGGATTGAGGGGCTGGGGTGCACTTAAGCTGGATATGGCTAAGGCGTATGATCGAATGGAGTGGCCTTTTCTCCGTAATATGATGATGGCATTGGGTTTCCATGATAGATGGGTTGATTTAATTATGAAATGTGTGACCACAGTCTCCTATAGTATTCTGATAAATGGCTCAAGGAGTGACCCAATAATACCACGCGTGGTTTGAGACAGGGAGACCCGCTATCCCCATATTTGGTTATTATCTGTGCAGAGGGACTCTCGTTGTTACTACAACAGGCTAACAGAGCGGGATTAATTCATGGATGTAGGGTAGCAAGAGGTGCCCCTCAGATTTCTCATTTGTTTTTTGCGGACGATAGCCTTTTATTCTTTAAGGCTAATGTGGAAGAGGCTAATGAGATAAAGAAATGCCTGACTGTATATGAGGATCTATCGGGACAGGTGGTTAACTACCACAAGTCGAGTATTTGTTATAGCAGGAATACGAGTAATGTGGATAGGGAAAGTGTGGCCCAAGTTTTGGGGGTGGAGCAGGCACCAAACTTTGGCAAGTATTTGGGTCTACCTTCGTTTGTGGGTAGGAATAAAAAGGCAGCTTTTGCATATATTGAGGATAAAATACGCCAAAGAATTGGGTCGTGGAATAAAAGGCTATTGTCTCAGGCAGGGAAAGAAATACTGTTGAAAAGTGTGGCACAATCTATGCCTACCTTCTCAATGAGTGTTTTTTTGCTACCTATATCAGTATGCACGGCTATAGAAAGAACGATGAATAGATATTGGTGGGGTTCTGGGACGGACAACCGAGTTCACTGGAAGGCTTGGGACAAGCTATGTGTTCCTAAGAAGTATGGTGGATTGGGTTTTAAGGACCTACGTGCATTTAATCTAGCTATGTTGGGGAAACAGGCATGGCGAATGCTCACTAAGCCTGATTCCTTAGTAGCTCGTGTTTACAAAAGCCGATATTTTCCCAGGGATACTTTCTTTGATGCGCAGGTAGGAAATAATCCCAGTTTTTGTTGGCGGAGTATAATGGCATCAAAGAGCATAATTTGTAGTGGGGTCAGACGAAGAATTGGGAATGGGGAAACTACATCTATATGGACCCATCTATGGTTACTGGATGACCAGGACCCAATGATACAAACAGAGATGCCTATACAGTTACGAGAGGCCAGAGTAGTGGGGCTAATAGATCAACAAACTGGTACATGGGATAATGAAATTTTATCAGATTTATTTCAACCTACGGATGTCGAGAGAATTATGAGAGTACCTGTATCCCGGGATTATAATGATGCATGGTATTGGTACGGGGACCCGAGAGGATTATATTCTGTGAAAAGCGGGTACAGACGATTGGTGGGAGATTATGAGAATAATCAAGGCCCCTTTACTAATTGGTTAGCTTTATGGAGACTAAAAATTCCACCAAAGTGGAAAATGTTCCTCTGGAGAGCTATTTGTGATATTTTGCCTACAACTACGAACTTGCTTTTAAAGAGGGTGGAGGTGAACCCATATTGTGCTATGTGTGGGATATCACATGAGAATACAATGCATGCATTAGTCTTGTGTGATTTTGCAAGAAACATTTGGGATCAATCCAACCTTACAATCCCCAATATTGTCACGGATATTTTTCATGTTTGGTTTGGGGAACTTCTAAATATTTTAGATTCTGATGGAATGTTATATGCAGCATCAATTCTATACAATATTTGGAAAGCTCGAAATGGTGCAGTTTGGGAGGCGTTTTTACCACGCCCGGGGTCCCTACTCAGAGCCGCAGCGGCAGCCAAGACCGCATGGACTCAGTCCCGCCCAGCCGTGGCTGCCACTGCCACTGCTACGCTGCCGACAGAAAACCGCCACGCTGCCCAGGCGAGTCCCACCGCCGGCCACGATGCTGCCGACGCCGCCGGATCCTCTGTGCCGCCAGTGAGAAGATGCAGGGTCGATGCGGGATATCTACACGAGACAGGGAATGCAACTGTAGGGGCCGTTTTATTAGATGGAGATGGAGCCTATATCTCGGCACTAACCGCGCCGCTACCGGCCTGTACGTCACCACTTATGGCTGAGGCTTTGGCGTGTAAGGAAGTTTTATCATGGCTAAAGGATCGAGGTGAACAGAATATTGAGATCTACACGGATTGTTTGACACTACAACGCTACCTTACATCATCAACCACTGCGTTTCGCTCTTACGTTGGCTATGCCATTGATAGCTGCAGGCAAATTGCCGTTTATTTTCACTCATGTTCTTTTAATTATATTTCTAGATCGGACAATTATTTAGCTCATGCTTTAGCCACTACGGCTTATCAGCAACCTGATACTATGTACTGGGATACTCACCCACCAGACATTATTTCAGCATTTTTCTAATGAAACACCGCAGAAAATTTTCAAAAAAAAAAGATTAGTCCATTGGAAATTTGTTATATTATTAAAAGACGAGAATGGTATAGAAAGGTGTCAACAAGAAGTTAGAATATAATATAGAGGAAATTTCAATTTTGGTCATATGACTATAGGGGCTTTGTTAATTTCAGCACTTGACTTTCAAAAGTGTCAATTTAGTACCTTGACTATTCAATTTTTATCAATTTTGGTCACTCCGGTTAAATTGCCGGTCAAATTTCGCCGGAAAAACTTAATCCTTCATTTAGTCTATAATCTGAGGGGCAAAATCGTCTTTTGAATTCTGGTAAAATCGTCTTTTTTCGGCAAAATTTGGCCAATAATTTAGCCGGAGTGACCAAAATTGACAAAAATTACATACTCAAGGTACTAAATTGACACTTTTAAAAGTCAGATGCTAAAATTAACAAAGCCCCTATAGTCATATGACCAAAATTGAAATTTTCTCATATAATATATAACAAAAGTCTGAGCATTACATATGTTCATGGCATTTCAAGCCATGATACAAACGTATTCACTTCCATATCCATATCATGCATGTATGTCAAGTCATGGGATTGGGAATATTTTAGAAATATGGGTGTTAGTAGATTAAATTAGGGTACGGTTATCATTTTACATCAATTTACGAAATAAGAATGACACAAACTTAATAAGGAGAAACTTTCAACTCCAATCAACAAAAAAAAATAAAATAAAAATCATTTTCAATTCAATCGTATAAGTAAACCTTGCTAATGGAAGCTAGATATATTACTCTTAACGGTATATATCTACCTGTGTATACACAAATTTAATTAATATGACTTTACTCAAAGAATAACCAAGCATAAGTCAAAATGTTAAATTACATAAAAATAATAATTTATACGAAGTATTTAGTAGCATGTAGCATGTATGTGCTTGTATATATAAGGGCTAGACCAGGTAAAAATAATGTCTCATGTGTAAAGTGAGTAAATTTTAACCGTCAATTGTAAAAAAAAAAACAAACGGTTAAAGATCCATGTTTAAAATTAAAATGTGGTGAAATATTATTTGTACATAATCAAAAGTTTAAATGAATAAATGATACATATTTATTTCAAAACAATATGTGTAGGTTTAGCTTGATCTACCTACTATACATTTTATGTTTATAAATGAATAAATGTTACAATGAAAGTTTTATATGTTTATAAAAATGCCACCTCATTTTTCATTTGAGTACAAATCTCAATTGTTCACTATTTTTTTTATTATTATGGATGAACGAGATCTGTTCTCATTTTTTACATAAATAATTAACTTTTTTTTTATTATGGATGAACGAGATCTATTCTCATTTTTTACATAAATAATTAGCTTTATGTATATGTTGAATTGATATAAAGTTCTAAATTAACCATTTAGTTATCAATTGTACAATAGTAGTTATATATATATATATATATATATATATATAATTTTACTAGTTAGTTTTTCATTAAACATTTAATTAATTATAAAATCTTAATTGACTTGTTTGTGTGTAGATACCATAGTTTTCATTATTTGTTTATTTCTCTCTCGCTTGCTTGTTTGGGGGTTCATTTCTAGCTAAAATTAATACGGAGAAAGTTAATATTTCATAAGATTCAACAACAATGGTTTGTTTAATCAATGTCAAACCACCACTTTAATTTGATGGAATCTCATTGTCTCAGGTTGTGTGTACACAATACCTTAATTATAAGATAGATAGAGCTCAGCAATTAAAATTTTGCAAATTCTTAATTAATTATCAAAATTCATGTGTGAAACCATGATCCAAATTCAAAATAATAATAATAATTGCTTTCTAAAAAGAAAAGATAATAAATAGGTGGGTCAAAATTGTTTTTGTTTTTTAAAAATAATTAAAAAAAAATCTACTGAAATAACCGTAATATTATGTTCATTTTAGGAAAAAATGGCAAAAGGTAATAAAGTAAAAAATAAATAAAAAGAAATGGTCAGTTATTTCAACAATGTAATGCTGAGTGTGTATATATATATATAATATTGTCGTGTAAAATTAAGAAAAGTGACTGCCTATCAAAACCAAACCCACTTTCCTTTCTCTGTCTCTCTTCTTCTCTATCTCTATATTATTTTCTCACAGTGTTTGGTAATATTGTTATTGTCATGCGCCTATCACATATATACTATGCTTTTGCGGATGCACCTTTTTATCTTCTTCCACACTAATCATTTTCTCCCTTCAACTTTATTTATTTATATATCTCTCTCTCTCTTCATCCATCTTTTCATGTTCACCGCCCAGCCCACAGATTACTAATAAATTACTCCGTATTTATACACCTGACTACGATCCATGGTTGAGACCACCGGCGGCGGCGGTGGCGGTGCTTCCGCCTCCAGCGATGACAGTTCAAGAACCTGCCCGCGGGGCCACTGGCGTCCTGCCGAAGATGAAAAACTCCGGCAGCTTGTGGAGCAGTATGGCCCTCAGAACTGGAATTCTATTGCTGAAAAACTTCAAGGAAGATCTGGTAATTAAATTAACCATATGCATGTAACCACCCTCAATTTTAAGTTAATAATATAAACCACTTTTTTTAAATATATATATATATATATATATATATATATATATATATATATATATATATATATATGCTCTTTAAAAAAAAAAATAACTTTTAAAAATCGTTGTATCTTACTTTTTTATATTAGGGTTAGGTTTTTTAGGGAGAAAATTTCAATTTAATTTCTTTGAGTGTTTTTTTTTTTTTTTTTTTGGGGTTGCAAAATTTCCCCAATTTACAGTTTGTGAGGATTAATAATGGCTAGTGATAAGAAGTACCAGTTTCTGACATGTTTTTATTGTTTAATTAATTCATAAATTATATAATATATGTTATTTAATTTTAAATTTGGAAATAAATTAAATAAATATTATGTATATAGGTAAGAGTTGTAGATTGAGATGGTTTAACCAACTTGATCCAAGAATCAACCGGAGGCCATTCTCGGAGGAGGAAGAAGAGAGGCTTGTGGCGGCTCACCGGATTCACGGCAACAAATGGGCGCTCATTTCCCGGCTATTCCCCGGCCGGACAGACAATGCTGTCAAAAACCACTGGCATGTGTTGATGGCGAGAAGGCAAAGGGAGCAATCCAAGCTTTCTGTTAAAAGGACTTACCAACAAGTGTTCAACAACGTTAACGTCAACGATACAAATGTTTTCCGGCGAAGATACAAATCGCCGGACCCCTCAAACAAAATCATCAGCTTCTTCGAATTCCAAAATAATCCCGACAGTAGTAGGCCGACTTTCTCCTTATCCAAGTATACCCCTCCGGCCCCGGCCCCTTACTCTTCTCCTCCCCTCAGACCACCCTCATCAGACTACTCTCTACTGCGCCATCACAAAAATAGTACTAACAAAAATTTAGGTTTTTCTTTAGTCGGAAGCCATGGTGGTGTAATTAGGTCAGACCCCCCTAACCTTAAGCCCTGGAATTTTCTGAATTATTCGTCAACGTTCAATGATGGCGCCAAGAATCACGAAAGAGAGTATTTATTCAGAGAGAAGAAGAAGAAGGAAAGAAATGAGCAGCAAGATAAAGAAGATGATGAAGGAGAAGACAAAAGGGAAAGGAGGGATGTTACCTTCATAGATTTTCTTGGTGTGGGGAGTTCTTCTTGATCACTTTTATATATATATTTCTTCCATCATATCTTACATGGTATGATAGGTTAGTTTTACATTATTGGCATGTTTATCCCCCACAGAATTTCAAGTTTAAGTTAAACCATAACTTAGTTATTTTTCTTTCTTCCCTTCCATCAACTTTGCAGGTCTAATCTATATATACCTTACTGCCCATTATATTCTTGATCCTGATAAATTGTTTAATTAGGAATGATTTTAATGACATATAGATTATTGGATATGATCAATGAAGTTTGGGTTGAATTTGTTATATTTGATCAGTCTCGTTAATTCTGGGATATATTTATTTATTTACTTTGTTTACACATCAAACCTATTTAAAAGAATGAAAATTAAATTAAAGCTCGCTGCAGGAGCAACTCAGTTGATCCATGGATAGTAGATTGTGGGCAATGGAATTGAAGAATAAAAGTTAAGTTTACTTGAAACCACTAAAGTTGTACTTATTGTGCTATACTAGCATTTATAGGTCTTTAAACAGTTGTTTATGGTAAATTTTTAGTAAACTAAATCAACATATTAAAATATAGTTGATACGCGTTTAAGTACGTTTTGCTGTTATTATGTATAAAAAAACATTAATAGAAGTTGATCCAATGTTAATTAGTTTGATAAATATAAATAAATAATGTATGTTTAGTTAATCTTTTAATTTTTTTGAAAGTAATAAATTAATCACTTAAATGCCTTACAGTTATTCCTTCATTAATTGTTATCAACTTTTAAGCGGCAAACTATAATTAAAGTGGTGTACTAGTGAATTCATTATTATCATTATTTTTTTTTGAATGACGAAAAAAAAAATTATAGTCATTACTCTAAGAATTGTACGGATAAACTATATATGCTCTTGAATAATGGCCTAAAAATTACAAAATAGATGGAGATTATTTCCTCCTCTCCCAAATGGGATGGAGATTATTTAATTAGCTGATTGTTGGTGATAATATCTTTAAAGTGAAAATAGGGAAACTAATTTGATGTGAAGTTTTCTTACCACTACCATATCATTTTCAAAGAGATGCATAATGGCACCATTAAGGACAGGCTACACATAGTTGATAGTTATATGGGACATGTCCTGAAAGCAACAAAATACTTGTTTGATTAAGGACTATATATTTGGCCTAAAGCTAGCTAAGCTAAGGTTATTTAATTTGTCTTAATTGATGTAGTCATATCACAACTGCATGTCCTACTTATATATAGAGAGAGAGAGTTAAGTTCAGGTGCGGCGGGGATGTATGGTGCGGCGTCACTCATAATTGAGGATTATACACCATCAACGTTAGGAAACACACCATAAAAAACGCATACAAATTAGGTACACATCACCAAAAACATATCATTAATTAGGTGTGAGTAAAAGCACCATACAATGTTCGGAAATACACCGTGGTGAGTTATATGGTGTATTTTTTTTGGGTGTATTGTATATTTTTTTGGTGTTTTTTTTTTAATTTGTATTTCATTATGGTGTGTTTTCTTACACTGTTGGTGTATTTCTGGAACCCCCGCACCGCGGCACATACCGTAAGCCCCGCCGCATATATATATATATATCTGTGTGTGTGTGTGTGAACCTGCTAATACTTGAAATTAATTAGGCCTTCAATTGTCCTTTATATGTCATGTTCTCAGATAGATGTTGCCCTTTTAGGTTAGGTTGGGTGTCGCTTAGCTAAATGACTAAAGATAGAGGTGTATATGTATTTATAATTCATATCTCATATCTTCCTTTTTCTTTCTTTTCTTTTACTGTCACCAATGTGTTTAGTTCAAAGAATAGGTTATGAATATAATGAAATAAATTTATAAAAATAATATTTTTCATTCCTTCATCTATGTGACATATAATGATTGCAATCCCCCAATTATATACGAATGATAAATATTAGGTCTCAAATTTTTAGGAAATGATAATTTTAATCACTACACTAAAAATCGAAGGGTATTAAACCTATCAATTTGTAAGAAACGATACTAAAATAACTTACAACTTGGAATTGTCCTTCCAATCCAGTCACCAACACTTCTAGTAAAACCACCATTCTAAGTTGTATTTCTATCAATTAAATCTTCAAATCAATATCAACTTTCTTTTTTTTGAATGCTACTAGCTCTATTACATTGTAGTATCTCACAAAGAGCCAATAACGCCTCCACACTGAGACTCGAACTCATAACCTTCCAAATGGAAGTCCAACCCGGATACCATTAGACCACATAGTCTTGGTCAATATCAACTTTCTTAATCACGAGCTTTCATAAGAGATTCGCCCTATGGTAAACATAAAAAATGACTTACATCCAATAAATCAAACGAGTACTCAATTGACATGCGATTTTGGATTAATTTGAACTTTGAAGTGAATTTTGGGTGAATTAGCTCGGTTACTACAATTTAAGGATTTAGTACGTTGTACGTACATGTATAAATTGATGTAGGAGTACATTATAATATTATATCGTCATATCGAACAACGTACACTTTTGTTCACATATTTCATATTTGCTAAGTTTGCTCCTTATGCAATCTAAATTCATAGGCTTAACAGCCTCGATAAATGTAAGAGTTAAAATCGTTATCTCATCTGAAATTTAAGAATTAATAAAGATTATATATACCTTAACACCAAATTGTTCTCTCATGGGGAGGTTATGAGTTTGAGCTTTAGTATTGACTCATTGTCCTTTAATAAAATAATATATTGTAACAGAATCAGTAGTGCTAAAAAAAAAAAACTTTCTGATCTTGACAATGTACGTCCGTCCTATAACAAAATTTTGGTGGTCACTTATAATTAAAATTTAAAAAATGCCATCAAATAACCCAAAGGTTAATTATAGAATATAATTATTATTTTTAATCCAAACCTTTGGTGAAGATCCTTCGTGGTACCCCCAAGGTTGCGTGAGCAGAGGAGCAATGTCTTTTCGGATTTGCTTTAGAGAGGTGGACGAGTTTGAAACAATGGAGTTCCCCCATGTTTACAGGGAGCAGAACAAGGTTGTTGACCTCATGGCCACGTGGGCAATCTCACACCCCATTGGCCTCAAGATTTTGGAAGACATGCCCCCGAATCTCTAGGATGCTATTCGTGATGATCAGTTTGGAGCCAAATTTTCCAGACGAATCCCCTATACTAGATGAGTGCATGAAAAGTGATCTTTAGTAGCTTTCTCGGGTGTCCCCTCTTTTTTGATAATAAAAAAATAAAAAAAAAAATAGAATTATAATTTTTAATCCAACACAGTAAAATTTATTTTAGTTCATAATAATAAAAGTAATATTAGATATACTTTCACTATCTATTTTGCTTTTTATAAACTAACCTAATATGATTTGATTGATTTATAGAAACAAAAGTGAATTATAATCTTATTCATTTTCTTTTTATCAGTTGATAAAATATAATACAAATATGTCATAAGAATTTTACTACATAAGAATACATGCATCATATATATATTGTATTAATGATTTTATTTTGATTTTGTTCCAAATTAAACGCATAAGAAGCTGAGCTAGGGTGCATGCCAGAAATGAAATGAAGATGGTTGCAAATTAAAGAATTTAGAATTATCCGTAAACTGACGCCAACGCCATCGTCCAATCGTTATACCCTACACCACGGCGCGCGTAACATTGTGTGTCGCGCGCCACCCAAAACGACGTCGTTTTGAAAGGCGCGGTAGGAAGTTGCTGTGATTATGTATATTTGTTTATACAATTATGTACATTCTTTTTATACAATTATGTACATCCGAATCAGAAAATTTTTGTGTATTATGTTAAGAGTTAATGTGTATTATGTTAAAAGTTTATGTTTATTACGTATTATGTTAGATTATGTGTATTATCTTTTAAAAAGAGTATGTATATTTTATTATATAATTATGTACATTCATGTATACAATTATGTGTATTCTAGTATAACAGTATGTACATTTTTTAACATGGTTTTTTTTTTAAAGAAAATTTAACTGCCAAACACTGAGGCGGAAAATTTCAAAAAAAATAAAAAATAAAAATGAAACGACGTCGTTTTGTATTTGGGCGCATAATGCAACACGCGCCGTGGTGTATGATATAAATTGCCCCATCGATAAACCAAACTAATGATGCAGTTGAAGCAACGTAACAAAAAGAAACGCGGTGGCCCATTAAGTTGCAAGTAAATGCCTTAGCATGTTAAATTTGGCAAATTATTATGTGTACCGTGGTACACACTATAGAGTATGTTGAATATAACAAAAAATATATTATTTTTAATGTATTAAAATTATATTATTTGTGTACTAAATATATATTATATTAAATAATGTACTTTTTTTTTAAATATAATGTACATTTTAATATACTAAAAATATATTATTTGTGTATTGAATGTACATTATTTGATAGTATAGTCCACATAATTGTATAGACCATCCTCACAATAATGATTGGTTAAATTTGCATTTGTATGTAACGCCATATTATAGTTCAATTCTTTTCCCAAAATGTTAAATCACAAATCCCAAGGGTCTCCACACCTAACTCAGCCGACGAAGTATTTGGGAATTGGGATGATGTAAATCACGGTGACTCAATAGTTCAGTAGTAATAGTAGTAGTAATAATAATAATAATAATAATAATCAATGGCAAATATGTCATTTTCTTTCTCTTTTTCTTTTCCTCTGTATGGTTGAATTGCGATTCATATGGGGCTATGAATTGTAATTTCCTCAAACTAAACAATACAGTTTAGTTTTTAGTTTTTTTTTTTTTTTTTAACATTGAATTTGAATTCATGCCAATTAAGCACCCCACTAAAAGAGTGTATGGTTTGCAATTACTTGAAAACTACATTTTTTTTTTTGAAAGTTACTGGCTCTATTACATTGTAGTATCTGTTCATATACTTTCTCAACCTACTGAAACACAAAGAACCAATAACGCCTCCACTGAGGCTCGAACTCATAATCTTCCAAATGGAAGTCCAACCCGGGTACTTGAAAACTACATAGAATAGGTATTACATGATATATATCATAAAATTCTGAAGAAAAAAAAAAAAAAAAAAAAAAACTCAGATAAAAAACGAAGAGGAAGATAACTGAAATCTATTGGAAAGTGAGGCAAATTATATCGTGCACTAAGGTGCACAATGCATTATGCGCCCTGACCAAAACGATGTCATTTTGGTCATGTTTTTTTTAAAAGAAATTTCGTTTTCCGTTTTTACCGTTAACTTCAAAAAAAAAAAAAAAAACATGTTTCCTATATACGTAAACTCATAACAGAATACACATAATCTAATATAATACATAATACACAAACTCTTAACAAAATACACATAAACCCTTAACGTAATATACATAAAATCTGAACATAAGAAACGACGTCATTTTGGTCAGGACGCACAATGCATTGTGCGCCGTGCATGATATAAGTAATAACGATTGGGAAAATGAAAAAGCATGGAAAAATTTTGAAACTCATACATTTTATTTTACTAGTGGGCCTCAGAGCCCAATCGCAACCATATTTTGTCCATTTCACGAATAGTTATGCTGTGCATCTGTATGCACCATGCATGGTGCATACAGATGCAAAAACGACGTCGTTTTGTTAAAAACGCGCGTCTCCCCTTTTAAAAAAAATTCAGGTTCGATTCCTAGTAACAACATTATTTTGTTCATTCATTATGGAATTTTAGTTCATGGATTATGGAATTATAGTTCATCGATTATGGAACTATAGTTCATCGATTCTGGAATTATAGTTCATCGATTATGAAATTTTAGTTCATAGATTCTGGAATTTTAGTTCATTCATTCTGAAAATTTTAGTTCATAGATTAGATTATGGAATTATAGTTCATCGATTATAGAATTATAGTTCATCGATTATGGAATTATAGTTTCGAACCTATTTTTTTTTTTAAGGGGAGACGCGCGTTTTTATAAAACAACGTCGTTTTTGCATCCGTATACACCATGCTTGGTGCATACGGATGCATAGCATAATTTGCCCCATTTCACGTCACTATATTGTTCGCACAAATTTAGTTACGAGAGAAGCTATTAGTTATTCTTAAATGTTAGAATTCTTCGAGTATAGTGATATTGATAAATCATGTTTAATTTTAAATTTTTAATTTAATTACTTGTGAATCTTGTGATTATTGAATTTTTAAATTTAACCATCCGTGATTATTCATACTTTCAAGTTAATTAACCATCCATATTCTTTTAATTTTTAAAATTTTAATTATTCATGGTCCTAATTTTATCCTTACTTAAATTAATAGAAGGACCACGAGTGGTTAAATTTAAAAAATTAAAAGACTGTGAGTGAATAAATTAACTGTCTGTTTGATTGGACGTAATTGAATTGCAATTACAACATAATTCGTTAAGCACTTAAGTTACGCTGTTTAGATGAAGCGAATTGCAATTCCACCGAATTACAATTCCCTTCATTTGAGGAATTGAATTCATAGGTCCCTCCAATCCACTTGCACCTATTGAACCTTATGGTGAGTGACGACTTGCTTTCATATGTCAATTTTTTTATTTTTTGATGTAATGTATACGACTTAAATTTGAAATAAAAAAAATATTATAAATTAATAAATTGAATAATAACTTACTTATCACTTATTTTTCAGCAAAATAAATACGGATAGTTTAATTCCAATAAAAACAAAAATAAATAGACTTACCCAAGAGGCATGACTTGAAGCAATTGTTTTTATTATGGACCACGGTGTATCATGCGCATAGTAAACTCTATCTAAATTATATATACGCGATTAACATATTACATACATTTAGTTAACAAATTATAACCTATAAATTGAAAAGACATATAATCTAATTAAATATCTTTTTTTATTAAGTCCACAATACGTACAGCACAAGGTGGGCATTGATCCATAATATAATTTGCGAATTTGAGGGGAACAAATGGTGTAAATTACAAGTTAATGAATCATTCTTAAACAATGCACAATGCTTGAAGGTAATCCTCATTCCACGCACAAATTACAAAAGTTAACTTGGACTATGAGTTCAAGAATCATACGATTGTTGGAATATAAATATTAGAAAGTATTTATAAATAAGATGAAAAAAATTGTTATTTGATTACAGGAAGTGATTTGAATTCAATCATGCATAATATTTGAAATAAAAAGGTAAAATGATAAAAAGAAATTGTACGTAATTTGAAACGAAAGTGACTTGAAATTAGTATTCAAGAAATATAAATATATAATGGTATGCTTAAATGTGTAAACAAAGAAAATTTTGGCAATGAATTGAAAATCCTATCATCTTGACCCTGGTGTACTGTTGAAGACGCGGTACAACATTGAACTAGTCCAAGTCGTCTTTAAATTTAGCCGCCCTTCATTGACGAGAGGGACTTTCAAGTTTTAACCCTTTTCTAGCCTATCTTAGCTTCTTTTCTCATTAAATTACCATCACGTCCACGAATTGTTATAGCTTGAAGGTCCTAAACTACGTATAAATTATGTATTTTTAGTATTGAAATTATAAACTTATAAAATATAAATTGTGTTTTTAAGTCAAAAACATAAGAGGATTTTTGATACAATACATGGTCTTCATCTTAATCTGTGACTGTAATATTTAAAAAGAACTTGTGAATACAAGACAAGGTAATCAATTTTAAATATATATGTGTGTGCGCATGCAAATTATGAATTTTTAAAAGACAAATTATGAATATTTAGATTCATTCTTTCTTTTTAACTTTTACTGACCAATTGAGATGTCAATACGGGCTGAATATTTAGAGTCATGTCCACATAATAATTTACGCCTGTCCACTTGCCTAAATTCTCTTTCCAAAATTGAAACAAATAATAAATGGAATCCTGCAGGCATATATACAAACTGTACTCCGGCCCTTTGCCCATCACGCCTAGGCCAATCTTATTCAAAATAATAAATATATGGTTTAATGAAATATTTGGGGTGATGAGGGAATACATAGGATAAATCTCTATTTATAATTTAGTCATTAGACTACATAGGTTAATAGATCACTCTCTTTGAAAGTCAAACTTAAAATTTCATAATTTTCAAGTCAACAATTTAATCAAATTTATTGTGGTGCTACTACTAATTTCTTTGATATAATATTTGGGGTTGTCTCTATTAATCGATATAATATTTAGGGTGAAGAGGAAGTGCACTGGATCATAAAGATGTAGCTAAACTAATTTAGCCTCAAAATAAGAAGATTAATAAGTTCACATTTAGAGTTAAATTTGAATCCTTATGATGATTACCAAGATAACAATATGACCATTGAGTGAGGTTGTCTTATTAATGGATGTATTTATAATGAGTTAATGCCCAAAATCGTCCTCGACTATAGTGATTTTTCTCAATTTCGTCCTAAACGATTTTGGTGACCTAATATTGTCCCATACTTTTGTGTTTCGCTCAATTTAGTCCCAGACTTTTGTGTTTTTGCTCAATTTAGTCCATCATTTGTTATTCTGTCTATTAGGTGTTAAATAAATAGACAATTCAGTAATTTTAATATTGGCATCTCCTTACTCATAAACATGTGAACTGCGAAATCTTTTTTTTTTTTACGAATTACTCTCATAATTACTCTTAAAACTGCGAATATAAAATTTGATTTGTAGGTCCGGGAATAATTCTGAGTGTAATTCATACAAGAAAGAGGAATATCGCACTTCACAAGTTGAAAGTAAAGAGAGATCAATATTGACGTTACTGAATTGTCCATTTATTTAACACCAATTTGACGGAATAACAAATGGAGGACTAAATTGAGCGAAACACAAAAGTCTGGGACGATATTAGGTCAACAAAGTCGTTTAGGACGAAATTGAGAAAAATCACTATAGTCGAGTACGATTTTGGGTATTAACTCTATTTATAATCTTGTTTTTTTTTTTGGATGTAATTTACAATCTTTTTTTTTATTAAAAAATAAAAAATAAAAATACAAACTGAAGACTTGTTCAGACCGGGATATACCAAGAGGGTGTGGTAGTTTACGAAGAAGTTAATGAGGGTATTTTTGTGTTTTAGCTAAATACAAAGTCCACCCTGTCTTAGTTTTAGTCGTCGTCTTATTAATTACGTTTAAACAATTATATAACACCTACTTGCTGTGGGGAGCAGCCGGCCTCCATTCTCCTCGACGCCATGGATAGAGAGCAAGAAGAGATGCAATTTCTAGGCCTTTTCGACATCTATATCGAATCCTACAAGGTGATCTACAGATGTAGGAAGATTTTCAGCCAGATCGCCTTATCTCTCGTTCTCCCTCTAGCCATCATCTTCTTAGCTCAAAAGGAAGTCTCCCAACTCATCTTCTCAAACCTCCGCCACACCGAGTCCCAGCTCGAGAATTCCCAGCCAGGCTCCCCACGCTACCAGCGCCTCTCCGACCACCTCACCTCCGACTTCGCCGCCCTCCTGCTCTTCAAGTTCGCTTACTTCACCTGCCTCCTCGTCTTCTCCCTCCTCTCCACCTCCGCCGTCGTCTACACAGTCGCCTGCGTCTACACCGCCCGCGACCTCTCCTTCAAAAAGGTCATCAGCGTCGTCCCCAAGGTCTGGAAGCGGTTGATGGTCACTTTCCTCTCCACTTTCCTCGTTTTCTTTGTTTACAACTTCCTTGCCGCCTCAGCCTTCGTGATATGGATTTTCCTCGCCCTGAGCTTCCGCGTCTTCGCAGATATCCCCCTGTGGGTCGGCGTCGCCGTGTACACCGTCGGATTCCTCTACATGTCCATCATCTGGCAACTGGCTAATACCGTCAGCGTTCTAGAAGATTCCTACGGGTTTAAAGCCATGTCCAAGAGCAAACAGCTTCTGAGAGGAAAGATGGTTTTAGGCGTAGTGTTCTTCCTCAAGCTTCACTTTGCTCTCTTCCTCGTAAACCTAATCTTCAAGAGGTTCGTCGTGAACGGGTGGGACTTCCATTTGGGGATGGTGGGTCGGGTCGGGGTCGGGTTGCTGTGCCTCCTGGTACTATTCAAGTTGGTTGTGTTTGGGTTGGTTACGCAAACTGTGATTTACTTTGTTTGCAAGTCATACCAGCATGAGAACATTGACAAGTCAGCGTTGTCGGATCATCTTGAGGTTTATTTGGGAGAGTATGTTCCTCTCAAGTCCAAGGATGTTCAGCTGGAGCAATATCAAGTTTAATTTAATTACATCAATTGTATTTGTAATTATAATCCCACCAATACTACAATTTTAATAAAATAATTAAATATATCACAAGAATATAATGTCATCGTCAACTTATTAGATCACGGCATCATATATAGTCGTCGTGGCGTTTAATTATGTGTGGCTAGCTTAGTTTATTATTTTGTTGGTGGGATAGATATATGCAATGTTTTTGGTATGCAATCAATTTTCTCATTTGTTGATGATGGATGAAATTAGTATATATTCAACATGCGTATGATTACATTAATTAATTATGGGGTTTGCCTTAGATGCTTACGCCCATCGCTTTCTTTAAGGTAAATACACAAAAATATATTATATTATACACACTGAATATATATATATATATATATATATATATATATAATTTTAATTAAGCACATTATATTGGATATAATGGAGGGTCTCTCCATTTGTTTCAAAATTCTAAAAGTTTATCCTTTTTTTTGAGAGAGAGTCTACATCTGTTAATTGAAAGTACGCTTTAAATTAAATTTGTTTTGTGAGCCTAACTGATCGACAAATGAACACGAGGTAAACAAACTCTTTATATTACATTAGTAACAGTATTTGAACTTATATCCTAGCCCAAAACTGAGGACGTACAAAACTCGATACGCCCAGGCGTCACGGTGGTTACACGCCCATGTCAGATCACTTGGGCGTGTTACTATGATGTAATTGACATGGCTGTGTGTCTGCAAAAACGATTTTAAACCGCTAACAACAACGTTGTTGGAGTGCATTATTGTTAATGACTGCATCAAAAAACGCAATAAGCTGGCCTAGTTAAATTTGATACATTATATATATATGGTTAGAAAACTGGAGATTCAAAAATAAACTAATAATGAAATTTATTTATTTATTGGTGGCAACTTCAACTAATTTGATTAGACTTGACTTGATAAATACAAAGTTATAAATTTGATTTTCAATAGAAACAATCTATTGATCTTTTTTATTTAAGTTAATCAGCTACCCAAAAGTGAAAACCTAGGCAGTGCATGCACACCTCCCCGTTGCAAGTTTTTTTTTGTTTGGTGTAAACCACACATTGTGGTCCGGGTCTTTCTCTGTCCATTTAACGGTCCAGGTTCACCCAGTTCGCTCCGAGGGACATAGAAGTTGGCCCAATGGGAATCCAACCCGGGTTATCCTAAAATTCTCCCCCACAAAGAGAGCTCATTTGTCACTTGAGCTACCATGTTGGGTTAATTGCAAGTTTTTTTAGTTATTCAAAAAAATATTAAAATTTATTATGGTGTTGTGGATTTACCTCAATCGTTATGCATTGGACCCGTGTCCAGCATGCTTGCTGGACAAGGGTAACAGTGCCGTTAGGCACTGTTATCTCTTCTTCTTCTTCTTTTTTTTTTTTTTTTTTTTTTTTTTTTTTTTTTTTTTTTTTAAATTTCAGACCGCTTCGTTATAGGAGTATATGTTCATAATTTTATTACTATATTATTAATAACTGTACATTCATAACTCCATAACTGTATGTTTATAACTCTATAACTGTACATTCATAACTCCATAACTGTACATTCATAACTCTATAATTGTACATTCATAATTTTCGAAGCTCTATGTTCACAATTTTAGAGCTCTATGTTCATAATTTTATCACTATATGTTCATAATTGTAAGTTCATAATGTTAGAGCTTTTTGTTCATAATTCGGTCAATAACTGTACATTCATAATTCCATAACTGTAGATTCATAATCTCATAACTGTAGATTCATAACTCCATAACTGTAGATTCATAACTCCATAACTGTACATTCATAATCTTCGAAGCTCTATATTCACAATTTTAAAGCTCCATGGTCATAATTTTATCACTATATATGTTCATAATTGTAAGTTCATAATGTTAGAGCTCTGTATTCATAATTTCATAATTGCATAACTGTACATTCATAACGGCATAACTGTACATTCATAACGGCATAACTGTACATTCATAATCCAAAAAAAAAAAATATAACACCGTTAATGCCGTTAACGGCAAAACGCACGCGATTTTTTTTTTAAAACTAAATGACGCGTTTTTTTTGAAAAACAACGTCGTTTTGGGCCCGTGTCCACAATTCACTGTGAACACAGGTCCAGGGCATAATTTGCCATTTAGAGCATCCACACTTGTGCATATTATGGGGAGATTTCAGTATTAATTCTTCTCAATGGGATAATAACAAATGTGGGGTGGGGATAATTGTGGAGATATTTATCCTGCAAAATTGGGGAGAATGGCAGAAAAAGAAGAAAGAGAAAGAAAAGAAAAAAGGGGCTGCTGTGCGCGAAACGAACGGCGCGCCTGACAGGTTCTTTATTTTATTTTATTTTTTTTCGTTTGTTTTTTATTTTTATTTTTTTTTTCTCCCTTCCCCACATTCTCTCTCCTAATCACTCTTACATTATCCCCATATTCTTCCCAACTAATGTGGATCCTCTTACCTTGATCCACGTGGACAGTTTTGGCCTCTAGTGCGAGTGTGCGACAATTCTAGAAACCCTTGCCCCTAGCGTCAATGGTTTCACCCTGGACCCACTGACCCTATAAAACAAAATCCAGAATTTCAAATTGTCAATGGCATAAATGTTGTGGGGAGCGACGAGGGTGCTGTCGATTCGGAAGGTGATTCTACTCCGGCATGACCCGTTAAACCCAAGCAACGGGCCGAATCAAGAATAACCTCCGCGGCACGTAAACCACCGCCGCCCTAGCGGAACGGCATGCAGCCGCCCAAGCGCGGTGAAATGCCTCCGTCGAGTCCGTTCTACCATCTCCTCTAGCACCGTAGGCCGTAGCCAACTACATTCACGGCCAAGCGAGGAGACACTAGCATATGACCATGGTTATGCCAACTACGTACATCTACGTATGGCTAACTAGCTCTTATGCTTAATGTTTATATGTGTAATCTTTTTAATTATTCCTCCTATTTTTCTCTAGAATTATAATATTGCAAATCAGAGTCAATATATATCATAGTATACAACCAAGTTCCTTCACAAACTGTTGGACTGGGATGTAGGTGCATTTGGAATTGGCGATTTTACCTTTTATCACAAATAATATAATGTGATCAAGTTGACTTAGATGGCTAATGTGCATTTCTTACTTGTTGTTTTTCCCTAATAAAATTCATACAAAATGTTATATTTTTCGTTGCACTACTGTCTACTGATTTGCTTTATACATGGTGAACATGTCGATATGATGATATTTATAAGTTTGAACTTGAAATTTAGGCCCTTCAATTCACAGTTCATGTAATGAATATTGGTGATGAATAAGATAAATCGTGGAATTATATGATGTCTAATGATATTTAATTAATTAATTAGTAGTGATTAGGGAAGTTGATAATTGTGCAGGTTAGGAGAAAGCGTAATGATGGAAACCGATCGAGGACAAAGGCGAAAGTATAGCCGTATAGCTTAGGAGTGATTAATGAATTAATCATAGACTTCCATTGTTAATAAACAATGCAAACTGACGCCGGAAGCGAGCTCATCCACGTTCGCCCATGGCGTGAATTAATTCTGGTACGTTCGTTACGTCCCTAATTTTCACTCCCGAAGCCTGTTTGTAACAAATAAACTTTAAGTTAATGCCATTATTTTATACGGAGTATATATATATATATATATATATATATGTGTGTGTGTGGATGTAGCTAGCATAGATAAAAGGTAGTATAGGAACGTTATTGTGTTATCTGACCCGGACAATTTTTGTTGCCTGGTCGATGAGGATGGAGTTTTAAAAAGATTTTTTCTGGCAAACCCATTACTTGGTCTACCCCAAGTTTTTATTCTCACTCCATTTTGTGTGTTCTTGAACGTAGCTGTTTTCAACGTCACATTCTGCACCCCTTTTTTTTCTTTTAAATCCTTGGCCAAAACTCTCAATGCTTCCAAAAAAAAAAAAAAAAAAAAACATGTATGATAACGACGGTTTTCACAGATACATCAAGTATCAAATCACAGTATAGAGTTTAGATATCGTTCCACTGAAGATAACTCTTAATGTTAGGAATTGATGCAAAGTGGAGTTAAGAACAAACTAAAACTATCCTTATAGAAGCTAGCTAGACCAAAATCGTTAATGAGTTGGTTTGATATGATTTAACAAATAACAAAATAGGCAAGCAAAACAAAGGACCGGAACTTGGTTGATTCAAGCTAAGATGCCAAATATTATACTAAGGATTAGGGAATTACATTAAAAAAAAAAAAGGATTAGGGAATTAAACAAGGTATATGGTAAGTGTGATGCACAAAAGTGTCCAAATACCACTCTCGTAGCTATTTGGACTTGCAATCTAACCTTAAACTCCACTCCCGTAGCAATTCAATCCATGGTTGCTTAAACAAGAACGCAAGGCATAAATTCTCCTTAACACCCAAAATACTCTCGTATTGAGCATGCAGCATTAAGTGTGTGAATGTGTGGCTAGTGTACAAGCTCTACTCGCGTAGCAACATACACACTACAAATAAAGCATATTATTGGGACCCAGCAATTATATACAATTTCACAACAAACTCAATTCACACAACAAACCCTAAATAACCCAAATAATCACTTTTATGCAATACAACTCAAATACGCATTAATAGCAAGAAATCAAACCAAATCCTAGTCCCAAAACACATAGCTACTCATAATATAACAATAGATACACAATATTAAAATAGTAATTAAAAGCATAGATGAACGTAAAGAGATCGGAAGAGATGAATAAGAAAACTTCTCTCTTGAAGTTTTGAAATTCAAGATTTGCAATGTTGTTCTTGAGTTTGGAAATGGAAATGAACAAGTAATCTACACTAATCTAAGCTATTCTAGAGCTAAACTTAACTAGAGAATGAAAGGGAAATGAAAGATAATGTTTTGGGTATTAGAAGAAATCCCGACCCTTTTTAAAAGGGCAAAAACGCGTTGTCATGTGTTGC